GCTTTTAAAAGACTGTTTCTGCCCTTTGATTCCATGGGAGCGTGTGTCTCTTCCCCTCCCCCTCTAATACCTATACCATTGTTCTCCAGCAGGGCGTTGTCCCAGGGACACTGCCAAACCAGTTGAAACAAGCTGTTTTGTCCCAAATAGGACTTTTACCTAACTTTTGAACTACTGGAGGCAATTGTATGATTTTTGGGTATGTTTATAATTAAAGTGTGCTGAGTTCGAATATGTGATTTTTATGTTTGTGGCATGTATATTTTGGAAGTTATTAATATGTAGCATAAAGTGTATTTGTCCTGCCTGTGATAAATTACATTAACCCATTGTGTTCAGTAGTTATATCACAGACAGAGGGGAGGGATTGTATGTTGGGGCTGGGTGTGTTTTACAGTTTGCCTGTAAAGGATTGGTTGTACTGTGTCCCACCCTGTGGGATGTCCCCTTGCATGGGGACTTGCATAAAAGCCAGTGTGTGGTCATTAAAATCAGATCATCTTGTACCTTTCTTAAAGCCTTGGCTCATGTTTGGGGGAAGGGATACCTACACTTTGGGGATTGCTATAATCACTTACTCCCCAGAGTAAGCTCTTGCAATAGCTTGATTTGTTCCTGCTACGCTCTCTGGATTTAGGAGAGGTTCACCCACTGGGAGCTGGATCCTGGTCATGGATCCTGGTCATGGATCCAGGGTGGTGGAGACGGCGAGACCCCGGCGCAGCTGTATCGCTGGAAGTGGGGTCTGCAGTGCTGATGGTGTCGGTTGGAGTGCTTGGAGTCCTCAGCGAGCACTAGGTGCATCGGTTGGCGGAGGTACTCAGTCGGAGTGACAGCGTTCCGTCACAGATACATTCAGGGGGAATAATAGGGGATGTTTCTTTTTCTTGTATAGACTCAGTATCAAACTGTGTAGATAAGGCATCCGCCTTAAAATTTTTAGAATCAAGTCTATATGTTATAAGAAAATTAAAGCGAGAAAGGAACAGTGACCACCTAGCTTGTCTAGAATATAATCGCTTAGCATCTCCTATGTACGCCAGGTTTTTATGATCTGTAATGATCAAAAGGGGATCCTTGGAACCCTCCAAAAATTTCGCCACTCCTTGAGAGCTACAATAATGGCCAACAATTCTCTATTGCCAATACCATAATTGCGCTCAGCAGGGGACAACTTCCCAGAGAAGTAGCCAGAAGGATGCAAAGGAGTTTCCTGGCTCTCCCTCTGGGAGCGGACAGCCCCTACCCCTGTCTCGGAGGCATCAACCTCCAGTATGAAAGGTTTACTGGTGTTGGGATGTATTAATATGTCTGCAGAGGCAAACCTTTGTTTGAGATTTTCAAAAGCGTCTACAGCCTCCTTAGACCATATCGTACTACTAGCCCCCTTGCGTGTCATATTGGTGATTTTGTTCAATGCCCTGTAATCGATACATGGATGTAACTCACCATCCTTTTTAGATACAAAAAAGAATCCTGCACCAGTAGGCGAGGATGATTTGCGTATATGGCCTATATTCAATGAGTCCTTAATATATTCCTCCATTATTCTACTCTCCTGTGGGGATAGAGCATAGACTGCTCCCTTAGGTGACATAGCGCCGGGTAGTAAGTTTATGGAACAGTCATATGGTCTGTGAGGAGGTAAAGTATTAGACTGAGTTTTGCTTACTTAATGTCTTGGTATTGCATAGGTAGTTTGAGGTGTAATAGTGGGTAATTCAATGGTGCCCACTCTATTGGTGACATGCAATATGCACCTTTCATCACAATCCTTACTCCATTCCAATATTTCCCCATTAACCCAGTCAATATGAGGGTTATGCTTGCTAAACCAAGGAAAGCCTAATATGATAGGACAAGATGCAGTAACCTGAAATGTTATATGTTCCTTATGTAAGGCACCAATTGACAGTAGGAGAAGCCGCAGGTTGCAGATGTGCTGTTCGAGTAAGAAGCGTACTGAAGGACTGGGCAAATTGATCCATGCGATGATCATTCTCCTCTAGTTTTCTTTCGCAAGCAGCTATGTGCTAACACAATTCTACAGGATCTATGGCCATGTCGTAATGTCAGGATTACTATATGATCCAGCACGTAGAATTGTGTTACACACATAACTAACAGGTAACGTATTACCAGGCCTTAGAATGGCCAGACTTACGTACCAAAGAATAGTCAGGGTGCTAGCCAAGGTCAGGGGACACAGATAGGGACACAACGATAAAGGAAAGCCAGAGGTCAGTGATACCAGAAATACAGGGAAGTCAAAATCAAAGCCAAAGTCAAAAACCAGAAGAAACTTGAATCAGGAACGCGCTCTCGGACAACCACTAGGGAAACCATGACAGGGCAATGAGGAAAGGTAATTCTAGGTTTTTATACCTGCTTTACCTTTCTGATTGTCCGGGATCGCTCTTTGACCCCAAAATGTGCGCGCCTGATGTCACATGCACGCCAACGTCGTTAGTCACGTGAGCGGACGTGGGGGTATAATTAGCCGTGGATCCGCAACGGCCGGCGTCCATTAATATGCCCCAGGTGTTAGTCGTGCAGATGCACGGTCGCTGACCGCAAAGTGAGGATGAATATGTTACAAATCTGAATCTGTGCAATTTTTAAAACCTATCACCAAGCACTAACCTTACCGATTCTGCTCTGCTACTACTACTATTACCACCCTTAGGCAGAGCAAGAGGGATGGTGAGGTTAGTGCTTGCAGTTTACAGAGGCAGGTTGCAGACATCCCAACATGCAAACATGCATTTCAGGGAGGTGGCTTCACAAGCTACTGCGTATTGTTTTCTTTATTATTTGGTGAAAAACAGGTGCAGGACTAGACAGGGACAAAATCGTACACACATGCATATACATCAGGATGACTGTCAGGTTTAACAATACGTACTGCAGCTTTTTTTTCGCCTCAGTTGGTTACTTCTTTTTACTTGATCTGTGAACCAAATGGCTCCTATCGATGTGTTGCACAATATATACATAACAATAATAATATACATTAAGCATTTATTCTGCAGCATACTGTCTGGCCCACATTTTCACCTTTTTGATTAATCCCAATCGTTTTCCCCAAAACCATTGCATGGATGAACTTCGTCAGAGCTGAAACACAACATTTTCACAGTGCACAACACGTCTGCTAGAAAGCATACTAAACCTTTTTGATACTATTTTTTTTTGGACTGTCTCTTTTTTTGGATCTGTTATCCTTGACTTTATTCTTGATTACTTTTCAAAAAAGTTGTAGTTACTTGCATGCCAGGTATATGCCTATTTCTGTATTTCTATAACCAGAGTCAGAGATTAGAGAGCATCGAATCAACTGCAAAATTTAATCTAAACTCACGCAGATGTTAATTATTGTCATCTTTTTTTTTTACCACATTTTATTTTTATTTTTTGTGTTAATCCAAAAACCAAAGCAACCAAGTCAGCAAGGTACACTGTTAAATGTTTGTCGTTTACCTATTGTACAGGTCTACGGAATAAGTTAGTGCTATATAAATAATTGTAATCGTAATTTAAGAACTTTAAAATGTTAAAATGATCATGATGTCTCACTCTTTCCTTGTTCCTGTCTGTAGGTATTTCTGGAAAATGTGATATGACCCCATTGCCAGCGGCAAAAAAATATGTCAAAATAATGTTTTCATTCATCTCTGAAGACATCTGCTATTCTAAATACTCAAATTAAACATAAAAAGAGAAAACAAACCCTTCTCCACAGGATTCCTTGTTTCCTGCTTGTTCTTACTGCCTCCCACCTCTCCTGGGGCTGATTAGAGAAGGGTCAGACAGCTGTGACCTGTCCACAGTTATTTGAACAGTCTTCCTTGATCTCCACAATGGAAATAAAGAGTCTTGCTTTAGAATAGCACTGCACATTAGGCTAAAAGCACATTTGTTGGTTATAGGCAACAGTGTGTTTAGAAAAATATATTACAATATAGTGGTTTTGTGCATGTTTATAACAAGTAATCCACCTGCTATTCCCTTGTCTCTACTGTTAATCCGGAAGCCAGCAGGAAAGTCTAGCATTCCTCATCATGCTCATTAACAGACATACTACTGTGTAATCTATTGATCAAAAAGATCATTTGTGTTTAAATATGATTTATTTACGAACAGAATTGTTTTTATGACTAGCAACCCTGGGGATCTTGTTAAAAAAATTCTCCCGTGTACTTTGACGACTTTCCTCCCAATGGGCCCTCATAATGATTTGGTAGTTTCTGCACCCTTTCTGTCACACTTGTTTACTCTCTGTTGATTCTGATAAAACAAGATAATTTGAGAGGAACTGACACACATGATGACAACGGTGATCGACATACTGCTTGAGAAAATTAGAATATTATTTTTTTATTTTTTTTTAAAGAAACATTCTGCACCCTATGTAACTTCCATTCCACAGGTGTGTGCAGGCGGTGTACCTGTTGTGACCAAGTACACCGTAATTCAGGAGTAAAATGTCCTTCCTTTCCCCTATTTTGGTCTCTCTAGGTACTTTTGCATAAGTGTGAGTAACCTTCTTGTTTGTTATCAAAAAAAATCTATGTGTACATCTATGTATGGGGATTGTAGCACGTGTGTGTGTGTGTGTGTTTTAATAATTATTATTACAAAAACAAACATTTATTCCATTATCCCTCTTGTTACATTGGGCCATGGATAGGGGGCATACTGATGGTAGTTCAATGGACAGATAGTATGTATTTCTCCCTTGGGTTTCAGCACTTTAATAGTATAAATGCATTGCTATAGTAACACAATGCTCTGAATGCCCATAGCAGGCCCCAGATGGTAAGTAATAACTTAGTCGATGATAGCATGTCAGAGTAGGATGATCTCAATCATTTTGGAATCTACACTAAGCAGCCTATCCCCACAGGGAGCGACCAATAGGATTCTATGTTTACTCTTTGTGGAGAGTCCTCTTGCATTTGTGTAGCAACTATTTGGCTCATAATTGCTGCTCTGTAATAAAAGGACACTATAGTCACCAGAACTACAGCTTATTGTAGTTGTTCTGGTGTATAGAGCCTGTCCCTGCTACTTTTTGGTGTCAACATTACCTTTTCAGAGAACAGGCAGTGTTTTCATTACAGCCTAGGAATACCTCTAGTGTTTACTCCTCAAACAGCCACCAGAGGTGCTTCCTGGGTCACACTGTGCAGCACTGACTTTCAGTGTCTTTACGCTCTGCATGAAGATGCTGAACTTTCCCCATAGAGATGCATTGATTCAATTCATCTCTACGAGGAGATGCTGATTGGCCAGGGCGGCGTTTGGCTCCGTCCCCAAACTGCCTCCCTGACTGAGATTATCAGAAATGGAAATCTCAGCTAATCCAAAGCTTTCCTATGGGAAAGCATTGTGATTGGCTGAGATCATCAATTCTGATGATGTCAGTCAAGGCGGTGAATCGGGGGGAGAAGACAGCGCCGGGGGACCCACGAGTTGCTGGAAATAAGGTGATATTTTGCTATATTTAAGGGGGGCACGGGGGATAAATAATGTTTTTAATACTATAGGATCAGGCATAGACGAATAGATTGTATTCCTGACCCTATAGTGTTCCTCTAAGCTTTGTGGTTTGGGAGGCCTAGTCCCACTTAGCCACTGTTCTCTGCAGTATTTGTGTATTTTGGTATTCCAAATGAATTTAACAAATAAGTGTTGTAGATTGTGTAAGTATTCATTTGGTAGTGGAATCTGTAGTGAACTCCAAGATATTGGAGTTTTGGTAGGACAGTTTGATGGCCACTTCTCCATGGGTTGCACTCTGAGGAGGTCAAACCCTTCTTACTTCGCTTGCTGGGCTTGAGGGAGGCTGACAACCTCCACTGAGGGATCTGCCACTGGGTAGGGAGGACGACTACCTCCACTCTGTTGGTTGTGATCTGTTGCTGGAAAGGGAGATCAACTGACTCCACTTCCTTGGCTGTGATCTGCCGCTGAGGTAGGAGGCCAACAACCTCCGCTCCCTTAGTTGCACTCTGCCGCTGTGGAGGAAAGATCCCCTACCACTTCCAGATCTTATATTTCTGCTTCACTTGCGCCTCCAGACAAACAATCACCTCAGCCATAGAGCGCTGTATCATATCCTTTGCGGAGTTTGACCCATTGAAGGCCATCCACATCCTCATCACCTTAGCAAGCTCTGAGTCAGAGTTGGTGGATGCAGTGCTTACCCGGCCCAATTCCGTGGTCACCTCCTCCCAGATCAGTTGCACCATCTCTGCTGATGGATTGGCTCTGACGAAAGCAAAGCCATCTGACACTCTTCTCTGGAACAACACAAACAAAAGGTAACATAATACGCAGCTTAGTAGAAAAGGCCCACTCGTAAAACCATACTTTTATTTGAAGAGCATATAAAATACAAATGTTTTGGTACCCCTGTCCCGTCCTCAGTGTACAAATGCCCCTTGTACACTGAACTAACATACTGAACTTCATTTTAATGCAGGACTAGAACTATGCGATTAACATTAAACATGCTGTGACAAACTTAATAAAATACAAATAACTAAAATATGTTGGAAAACTTAGAATAAAATAATAACATATTTATTAAGAATTGGGTAAGGCAATAATTAACACAAAATACCACTCCTGTCTGCAGAATTCAGAATATGCAAATCTACCTGAATATGCAAATTAACAAGCCTTAACAAGGTAGTGCATATAGCTGTTTCAAAATCCTTACAACCAACAGTTGGCGCTGTACAGGCTTCACATCTAAATATACCTAGTTGGTTGAAAGAATCAGCAGGTCAGGAGGGCACACAAACATTTAACAACGAACTAATGCATTCTACACATCCTGCACCTATTATGGACACAGGGTGTCTAAGACATAAGAACAATTTAGGGAACTATGTGAAGTGTTCCTCTTTTGCTCCCAGTGATGGTGACTACCGTCACACCATTCCTTTGCATAAGTGTTTTTTGTGAGACCTTAAAGGGACACTATAGTCACCAGAACAACTACAGCTTATTGAATTTGTTTTGGTGAGTAAAATCACTACCTTCAGGCTTTTTGCTGAAAATGCAGGGTTTACATTACAGCCTAGTGATAACTTCATTGGCCACTCCTCGGATGGATGTTAGAGATCCTTCCTGCGTCATGGCTGCCTAAAATGCTTCCAAACATTCAGTATTTCCTCCTATGGAGTGAGACCGGCAGGGGGAGATCCCCTGTCGGCTCATGCAGAGCCTTCGCTATCCGAGTGCCGGGTCTGCTCTCAGCCTCCCTCCCCACTGCAGCATGGAGGGAGACAGGAGAGGACCCGGGGAGCTCAACCAGCAGCTTCGCCGGGTTCCTCTCGCGAGTTCTGAACGTTGCATCTGGGGGCTAGAGTTCACTCTCCACTGGACCACCAGGGAAAGCAGCAGGAACAAGAATCCCCCCTCTCTATATAAGGTAAGAAGGGAGGGGGATATTAAGTAATGTACCCCCACAAATACAGCATACAGCACCCACACACACATACAGCACGCGCACACACACATACAGCACCCACACACACACATACAGCACCCACACACACAGCACCCTCACACACACACAGCACCCTCACACACACACAGCACCCACACACACACACAGCACACACATACAGCACACACACACACAGCACCCACACCCACACACACACACACACACACAGCACCCTGACACCCACACAGCACCCACACACATACAGAACCCTCAAACACACAGCACCCTCAAACACACAGCACACACAGCACAGAAACAGCACCCTCACAAGCAGGACCCTAACAAACACACACACACACAAACACCCTCACACACACACACACAGCACACAAACAGCACCCTCACACACACATCACACTAACAGCACCCTCACACACAGCACCCACACACAACACCCTCAAACCACCCTCATGCAGCACACACACAGCAGTGTATGTATGTGTGTGTGTATATACATATACACGCGGCGTTTGTTTGTGCTTTAGGGTGCACACCCTAATGCAATAGGCTGCGCACGCCTATGCTCTGCATGCAGACACAGAACTTTCCTCATAGAGATTCATTGATTCAATTCATCTCTATGAGGAGATGCTGATTGGCCAGGGCTGTGTTTGAATCATGCTGGCTCTGCCCCTGATCTGCCTCCTTGTCAGTCTCAACCAATCCTATGGGGAAGCACTGTGATTGGATCAGGCTACCACATGTCAGCAGACTGCTTGTTTTTTTGAGTCTAAGAGCATGCAGATTTACAGCTTCAGGTTTGAATACAGTAAGATTTTTACTATATTTATGGAGGCACAAGGGGCCCAGGGGGGCTAGATGGTGGTGTTAACACTATAGGGTCAGGAATACATGTTTGTGCTCCTGACCCTATAGTGATCCTTTAATACTTTTACTATCTAGACATGAATTATTAATTTTTTTAATGCACTTATATACTATGTTCGCACTGTTATTTTTATGTTTTATTATTATACTTTATTTATTATTTGTATAGATCTTCTTGAACTGTATGGATCCCCATGATATTGAACCCTAGGGCTTCTTTTTGCCAGTCTATTTGGACTTAAAAGAGATCCGTTTTTTGTTTTGGACACCACTAACTTTTTTTATTTATTCTTTAAGTGGGTGAATCCTTTGTGATATGCTTGTCACTTACTATTTTGACTTGTGCCTTGGGATCTTGCAGTTCATGCAATTAATAGTAAGTGCAATTTCACTTATATTCATGGTTAATAATGTAAATAGCAAAGGAAAGGAAACAGGTAATCGCAAAGCAACTATACACTAATAATACCCATAGATGGTACAATTGTAATAGTAATAATATAATTATATAATCACAAGAGATATTCCATGTTGAATAGTAAACAGTTCTTGGTGAGTGTATTGGTTGTGGTAGGTAGTTCGATGTATCCAAATAAATAGATTCCAAGATATGAAACGACAAAAGAATGACAGAGAGAACAACAATAGTGTGATATTGTATATGACCAGTTCAGAGGTAATTATTTGTGTGAAATGCACTCACAAACAAGGAGTCGTCTGTTGGCTCCATTATATTTGCTTCTGATAATATAATCCTTGTCACAGGATATTTGTAAAGGGTCAAACAGGATCTTTATAAGGACATTGATGTCTTGTGGTATTCTCAAAATTTATCCGTAAAATAAATAAGAAGATAGGATCCAATAGTGCAACTCAGTAAAAACAATCTCAAACTATATATAAACAAAGGATATAATACACTCACAAACAAAGAGCTTCCAATTCAGCTCATTAATGTGCCTTACATGTATGAATTGTGTTATAGTGGTGTTAGCTTGATAAAGACCTCATTGGAGGTCGAAACTTTGTTGTTTATGGTGTGATTCTCCAAATAAATCGGCTATCTTTTGTAACTTAAGTGCATACATCACATTGCTTTTTTACATTTATGTATGAAGTTTGCCAGCCGCAGATGCAGCTGTACACCTGGTTTCTTAAATATGAGTGCCGATTCCTTCCTTCCGGATTACATACAAGTCAGGTAATCTGACCTCCAGTCAAATTGAAACACATATTTTTTTTTTTATTATTTTTTTTTATTCTTTATTTTTGGTATGCAGGTAGTTACAACAGTGCCTGTGTCGCCACAACAGCATTAGCAGGCTCGATTTTCATAGACATATGATAGCAGTATTGTGGCAAGTTGAATATGCATACATTTTTAGTAAAAAGGGTAACGATACAGCAAACGAGTTATCGACAATATGGTTAATCTAAATTAGTGCGACTAGCTTGAGGCATCCTGTGAGATCGGCAGGCTTGTATACTTAGAGAAAACAGTAATGTACAAATTGCTTGCCGTGTTTTGAAACACATATTTTAACCCCAAAATGATCCTCTCTTCCATGCCATAGCTTAAAGCTTGTATTTTAAAGACATTTCATTTGTAGCAGGAGTGTAGGCTGTACTTCTGTAACTGATTGTGTATATTTGTTAGAGATTTAGTTCGCTAAGTAAGGGTTAGGAGGACATCATCAGCGAAAAGGTTCAGTTTGTATTCTCTGTGCCCAACCTCCACTTTGTGAATTGATGTGTTTGCCCTTATGGATGCTGCTAGTGGCTCAAGTGCCATCACATATTATTGTGGGGACAGTGGGCACCTCTGTCTGGTTCCAATTGATATGTAAAATGGGTTTGATATGAACCCAATATCTGAGCTGTCGGGTTGTTAT